AGAGGATAATCAGGCTGACTTCATCTGGCACTGGCAGCAGCTCCCTAAATCCTGGGATTTTTCAGGGCTCCTGATGGTAATTAACGGGGCTCTTGGGTTAGGGCATCACCCCAAAAGTCTGAGAGACTCAGCATTCCCCAAGTAAATCCTGCTGGATGTGCTTTTGGAAACTCCTGCTTTTAAAATGGAGAAACACAGGCCTAGGCTGAACTATGGTAACCAAAAAAAATCTTCCAGATTATTGGGAATCGTTCAGGTGTTGCTGAGGTTCAGCCTGAGGTTTATCCCTGGCTCCACATCCCCAAAGCCAATCCAGAGGGTGAGAGTGGCAGGGGTTCAGTGCAGCTCTGGGGTGAAGGGGAAGCTCAGAGGCTCCAAACCCCCTAATCCCTGTCCTGGASAGAGCCTGCCAGCCCTCAGATGTTCCACTTGATAAATCCTGTCACCAGCATTTCCCRTGGATTGTCACCCTGTGGACACTCCAGCTTGGAGTAAAAGGGGTGTYGGAGACATCAGCCAAGAGTGGCCCAGGAATCTCCACACCCTCGGCTCTGGCAGCGTGGAAACCCCAAAAATGAGCGGTGCTGGAGGTGCTCAGAGCATCCTCTGCTGTCCTGGCATCACCCCAGAGCCCCTCCTTTAACAACTGCTCCAGAAATGCAGCAGAACTGCCACAACAGGGTCCAAAAAAATGCTCCTCACCCCCAGCCCCTGTCCCTGTCCCCTGAGCCCGACAGCAGTGACCTCACCAGACTGACCAAAAACCTCCTTCAGGCTCCCAGAGCTTCTGCACTCCAGGATGGGAAGGCAATTGCTGAAAGTTTGGCTAAATGATAATAAATTAAATAAAAAACGRCTTGACTCGCACACAGCCGTGAGTCAGCGACGGATTCCCAGTGGTTTGGCTAAATTCAGCTGGATGTTTGTGTCAGAGAGGGTGTAGGGGGAACAGGGGATGCTCTGCTGCTCCCCTGTGGGTTTTGGGGTTTTGTTACCCCAAAAATGGCTCTGGGCTCTCAGAGGGGAGCTCTGCCCAGCCCTCCTRGGGAAAACAGATTTAATTAACAGAGCAGGGAGAAAAGAGCCATTAAACACTGCTCCAAACCCTCCCAAGGGCTGGGAAAAATTTCCATCTGGGGACCCTGAGAATCCCCTCAGCCCATTCCTGCATCCCACCCCCAGATGAGGCAGGAGCATCCCCGACACTGAACTCACAGAATAAAGACAGCAGTGATCTGGGGCAGCCCCACAGCAGCAAGGGGAACAGCAGCACTAATTAACCTCGCTGCTAATTTCTCAACCTTTCTGTTTTACAGTCGCAGGGAGGAGCCTGATTTCCTGTGGTGTGAGGATCCTGCCTGCTGGATTTGAAGGAATGGGGCAGGGAAATGTGGTTCCCTCCTTGTCCCCATCCCTGAACCCTGGGATCTGTCCCCATTCTGTCCCCAACACCCAGCCCTGCTCCAGCACATTTGGAAAAGATCAAATCCTATTCCTTCCACCCACAACCGCTGGATCCTTGGATCAGCAGCCTCGTGGCTGCTTCTTGAAATTAAATTAAGACTCATGCCTTAAAATTAAGAGGTTTTTTGGAGCAAAGGGCTGCCTGCAGAGCCCACAGAACGCTGTAGGTCTGTCTGTGCTATCCCAAATCCAGCCGTGGAGCAGCTCAGCAAGGACTCCTCCCTGCRAGGGAAGGACAGAGGAGAACAAAAGCCAGATGGCTTTGCTAATTCTGGAGAGCTCCCTGAAGGGGCTGTCGCTCTGCCAACACCCAAATTCCAGTCAAGGACTCGGTGGCAGGGCAGGAGACACCAGCACGAGGTTCATTTCCAGGAGGATGCTTCCCATCCCAA